TCAAATCAAATGTTTCAATACATCTAGTTTTGTCTGTTCCATTTAGTCTAGTTTTGTCTGTTCCATTCAGTCTAGTCTTGTCTGTTCCATTCCCTCTAGATTTATCTACTCCATTCCATCTAGTTTTATCTGTTCCATTCCATCTAGTTTTGTATCCTCCATTCCATCTTGTTTTATCTATTCCCTTCCATCTAGTTTTGTGTTCCATTTAATCTAGTTTTGTCTACTCCATTCAATTTAGTGAGGTCTATCTGCTCAATTCCATCCAGTTTTATCTACTCCATTTCATTCAGTTTTTGCCTTTTTGCTCCATAAGCAATTTGTCTGTTACTCACAGAGCTCTTGTATATGTAAGCATCAAGTAAACGCTACCAACTATGTTGCTTTAAATGAACAATTGTACCAGACAAATAAAGATCTCTTTATGAACACTCGTTCTTGCTTAAACGCACGCGCGCACGCACTCACATACACAGACAAATCAAGAAAACAAACTTGAACATGGTGAATATCTTTCTTGTTTGCAAATACTTGCAAGTGAAATCAATGTCATATCACAATTACTAGATTTTGTTTGCAAACATTGCACTTAATTAGTAGTTATTTTTTTTATTGGCTTGACAATTGGCATTCCCGATATTTTGTGTGTTGCGTGGTAACAGTTGTGCGAGTAGTTGTTGTAGCAGTGGTAGTGACAGCAGCAGTAGTAGCAATAAATGGTCAATGAAGACACCCTTTTTTTGGGTGCCTAGGGGGTCATGTTCTTAGTACACTTGTTTCCATAGTAAAGCGCACAGGTTTGATTCCCGGCGCGGTAACTATAGCTTTCGATTTTTTGGGGGTTCTAGTGTGTCCTTCTATCCTGCTACTTCTTTCTATGAGTGCCAATCAATACATCATCTGTTTATTTATACATAATCTAACACTTAAAGCAAAAGACGTTGTCTTAGGGTTTGTCTTGGGCGTCTTTGTATCCTCAATCCTTTTGATTTCCTTTGCAGTGCCTGTTTAGTAATTCTCTGTCTATTTCTCCCCTGGATGTATCCAATATACCACCTTCTTCTTTGTATGTTAAATTAAGAATCGACATCACAGCACTCGGGACACCCCCATAAGCGCACCGTACCCATCTACAGCAGCAAACGAAGAGTTAAAATCCCGATGGTGCCCTATTGTATATCTGTCTCGCCTTTCTCCTGAGTGTCGAGCGTCGGTCAAATGCGCCATCTCCGCTGTCTTTACTAAACATAATAAAAGCGTATAAAAAAAACACACAAGTAGTGATGAGGGGGGAAATGAAGCGAATTTTGAGGGCATGACCGCTATATAACCTTTGTTAAACAGGACAGGGCTGCATGGTCTCCAGGCATGTTATTTGCCTCGAGTGCTAGAGGTTCCAGGATCAATCCCCAGTAAGGGCTGGGATTTTTTTCACGTGGACTTCTAATATTTCGCCCTGGTCTCTGTGCTGTGAGATCAGACGCCCGTGTGTATTGTTGGTTTAAAAAAACTTCGGCATTTGGAAATGAAAAAGGGAACCTAACAGCGCTGCCCCGGCAAAAATGTTGAGTTAAAAATCTACCCAAAGTATTTCAAGATCCCCGCCGGTGCTACAGAGCCTGTGCGCTGTGCTGAGCTTCTTCAGACTCAGACTTGAGTTAGAAGAAGAACGGAGCACTTATGGGTTACTACCCGTGTGCCATGATGTTAATCCGTTGTTCAAACATCAAACCTGTTAAGCAGGATGTGCCAAGTATATCACCATCTCCTTGGTCTGGTAACTGGATTCCAGCGGCTGTGGAAACATTTCTCTTATTTCTTTTCTTTCTTGAATGCACCCCATTTAAATATTCTATGACTGTGATGACAATACGGGTGGTCGCAGCCCAGCGGACAACAAACATTTAATAAACACAGTTCTCTTATGGTTTCCAGGTCCTAAATGTAGGGGATAAAAAAAGAAAATACCAACTGCACCCTTAACAAGTCGGCGTCTGTGGCTTAGGCGTTGCGAACGTACTTCGTAATGCCAGGATGCCGGGTTCGATCCCAGCTGCAGGCCTTGCGCTAGTTTAGACAGTAGTATCAAGAAGCCGACCGGCCAGAAGGTGATGGCAAACTACTGGACGTAAAGTCTGTATAGAAAAATCTAACAAATGCTGGGGTTGGTTTTGCAACTTCCTGTAAAAGATACGCAACTAACTTTAAAAAAATTTCCTAACAAGCATGTCGTGGAAGTCAACTTATTAATGTTGTTTTCTTTAAATTTGTAATACATCTGCCTCAGAGGCGAGGAATTAGGAATCTGAATACAAATAAACGAGACGCGTAAAACGGATGTTCATGCAAATCTCAAGTTCCGGAACAAGACTAAAATCCAGAAGTGGACGAACAGCCAGAACTTTCCGCCCGAGTTTACAGCCGGTGAACGCGAAGAAGTGGGAGAAGAAGAAATAAACATACCACAAAGTTTGACTAGGAAACTCAGTCAAAGGACAAAAAGGATTAACAGGCACGCGGGGACACTTCAACAGAGAGGAAAGGACCATTGTTACAGCAGTGGGGCATCGATGCTACAATTGTAGAGGATGTGCTGAACATTATGACCACCTAGACTGACCATCAGTCCCACTTTCGCCGGGGTCAGTGTCGTTTTTAGGTTGACCCAGTTTGTTCAGTCAATACTTTATACCAGCCTTGGTCTAACAAGAAAACGACACTGTCCCGGCGAAAACGGAACTTAAGGTCCACCTTTACTTCACAGGACTTTACCTAGAACCGGTTTTGGATCAGGTCAACCGGGAGCCAAATGATTTTCTTCTTCTTCTTCTTCTTCTTCTTCTTCTTCTTCTTCTTCTTCTTTTTCTTCTTCTTCTTTTTCTTCTTCTTCTTCTTCCTCCTCTTTTTCTTCTTCTTATTCTTCTTCTTCTCCTTCTTCTTCTTCTTCTTCTTCTTCTTCTTCTTCTTCTTCTTCTTCTTCTTCTTCTTCTTCTTCTTCTTCTTCTTCTTCTTCTTCTTCTTCTTCTTCTTCTTCTTCTTCTTCTTCTTCTTCTTTTGTCATCTTACTCATATTAGGCTATAGTCCAGTGTCGTCGTTTTCTATATTTGTCTTGCGATTCTCGGGTGGCTTGGGTGATGGATTTGTTCATCTTTTTGCAGGTCTCATCTACACATTTTATCCATCTCTTTCTTTGTCTTCTTCTCGCCTTCCTCCTATAACATAACCCTTGACCCATTAGGGTCGTGGAGGTGTTTTGATGGAAGCACTAATACACAAAACCCGTCATCTTTCTCTGTCTTCTGCTTGATGAACAAGTATATGATAGCTTAGTCCTGTCCATTTCTTGATATTGTCATTTCAGTTTCTTCTTTGTCCTCATATTCTGCGAATACCCCCTAATGTTCCTTGAAGCACAGTCTTTTCAATCGAATCATGTCCAAACCAAGCTAGCTTGTGATGTTTAACCACTGCTAAGAGAAGCTTTTTCCCCTTCAATAATCTGGATTCGAACCCAAAACGTTTCAGCTATAGTTATCAATTAAAACTTGCCGTAACTGCTGTCACTGCACCTTTTTCTCTCTGCATTTTTAGGGAGGTGTAGGACAAGGTGGTCGTGGGCCTGAAGAATTAAAGTCACATGGTAACTGCAGTCGCCACGAACTGTGCAGGGTAGAATTTGTCTTCTGGGTCTAAACAAACATCATTGTCAAATAAGCAAAAGAGACAATGTTCCACACCTTATAGGGCTAGACCTATATTTTGCAGACCAATCGGCGCACGGCGGGTGATGTGGCTAGCATTGTGGTGGCCGCCTTTACTTTCAAGGATTTTTACCTGATACCCTTTTAAGACTGCGTCGACCTGGGAGCCGAGGTCATTTTTGAAAAAGAAAAAAAAATAGCCCGCTCCATTAGGAACTGAACATGCTACCTTCGGATCCCCAGTCGATATTTAGTTGTTATTGATTGTTACTTGTATGTTATTTGACACTTTGGTTCATGTGCGATTTTATCTAAATTCTCTTCAACAGCGCTTGTGATATTTCTTTTTGCCCTCATCTGTTTAATGATATTCTTCGTAAAGTTAGGTGGGAGGTCGTGCCTGGGATTGAAGAACCACCTGATACAAATGGTAGACAAATCAAACTGCGACATAATGATGATGATTTTTTTTTTTTTTTAATCGAATAGCGGGCATCTCCACAATTATGGTTGGCTACAGGGGATCTACCTAATCTACTAAACTCTCTGTGATTTTGTCTTCAAGCTGGAACAGTGTACTTATTATTTTCGTTCATCCTCTTATATCATAACTTTGAATGTGACCTCTCTCTCTCTCTCTCTCTCTCTCTCTCTCTCTCTCTCTCTCTCTCTCTCTCTCTCTCTCTCTCTCTCACTCACTCACTCAATCTCTCACTCACTCACCCTCTCTCTTTCTCTTCATTCCTTCTTTCATAAATATAGATTTAATTGCTTGAATCTAGAGCTTGTTTATTTGTTTGCCTTGGCTCACTAGAAGCTTGCTCTATTACTTTACACGTTAATTTTTTCTATGTCTTTGTGTATTTGTAGGTTTGCTAGTATTGGAGTGTGTCTCCTAGTATTAAGGTTTGTGTTTCCCAGTGATGGGGTATGTGTCTGCTAGTGTTGGGGTATGTGTCTCCTTTGTGTTAGTGTATGTGTCTCCCAGTGTTGGGGTGTGTCTCCCGGTGTTTGGGTGTGTCTCCTAATGTTTGGGTAGGTGTCTCCTAAAGTTGAGGTGTGCCTCTCCTAATTTTGGGTATGTCTCTTAATGTTGCGGTATGTGTCTCCCAATGTTGGGATATGTATCTCCTAATGTTGGGGTATGTGTCTCATAGCGTTGTAGTAACTGTGTCCTAGTGCTGGGATATTTGCGAGTAACAAATTTGCTGCAGCTGGAAAATGGACGAACATGACGATCACTTTCTGGAGCCGAATTTCAGACAAGATGGCGATCTGTTCAATCACCAATGGTCACCTCACTTCCGACGCCCTGGTCCATGAGGGTCGGCGGCCTCGAGTCCAGCTGAAATATGAAAGAGTCGTATTTAGTTTTGTAACATCACTGACAGTAATAACTTTGTCGTGATGATTACTGCAATATTAGCTGTGATCTTGATAGTGGTCACAGTGTTAGTAAATGCCCCCCCCCCCCCACTCCCTTCCCAATTGTCTTGTGTGCAGAGCTGGTGGTGATAGTGGTGGTAGCAGTATTTGTAATTGCGGTCAAAATGTGGATGGTATTGGTGGTAGTCAAAATAATATTGGGGTGGTGGGGGTCAAAATGTTGTTGGCGGTAGTGAGGTCAATGTGCTGGCAGTAGTGGTTAACATGTTGTTGTTGTTGGTGATGGTGGTCAAAATATGAGACAGTGTGAGTGAGACAGTAACAGCAAGAAAATGTGAGTGTGAATGATACAGTGTGATTGTGAATGAGACAATGTGAATGAGACAGTGTGAATGAGACAGTGTGAGTGAGACAGTAAGAGTTAGACATTGTGAATAATACACAGTGAGTGTGAATGAGACAGTGTGAATAAGACAGTGTGAGTGAGTAAGACAGTAAGTGTGAGACATTGTGAATGACACAGCGGGAATAAGACAGTGTAAGTGAGACAATGTAAATGAGACAGTGTGAATGAGACAGTGTGAAAAAGACTTTGTGAGTGAGACCGTAAGAGTGAGGCATTTTGAGTTGTGTAAGTAAGACAGTAAGAGTTGGACAGTGTGAGTGTGAATGAGACAGTGTGAGTAAGAACGTTAGAGTGAGACGGTAAGAATGAGACAGTGTGAGTGAGACAGAGTGAATGGGACAGTGTGAATGAGACAGTAAGAGTGAGACAGTGTGAATGATACAGTAAGAGTGAGTCAGAATGAGCAAGACTGTAAGAGTGAGACAGTGTGAGTGTAAATAAAACAGTGTCAGTGAGACAGTGTGAATGAGACAGTAAGAGTGAGACAGTGTGAATGATACAGCGAAAAATGGACAGTGTGAGCTGGACAGTGTGAGTGAGTTAGTGTCAACGAGACAATGTGAGTGAGATAGTGTCAACGAGACAGTGTGAGTGTGAATGAGACAGTTTGAGAATAACAGAATGAAAGACAGCTATAGTATAAATTATAACACAAAGATAAATGAATTCGAGGGGTGGCTAACTGGGAAAATTTTTTTTATTTTCAATATCATAGTTTTTCTCCCTCTGTCAATCCAAGCATTTCCATTGGTTCTCCTTGTTTACCCCACTCCTCTTCTCTCATCAACTTTCAAACGGGTTTTTCCTGTACCCCGTCCCCACACCCCTTTACTTCCCACTTTAAGTATCCCCAGAACTCTAGAGAATTGAGAAGTCCAATTTTCCGGTACTCAAATCTACATCACTTTCCCCCCAAGAGTATCGAAATAACCCACCCGGCGGATCGTTCAAGTGCTCAAGCGATACTTCAGCCCTGCAAGACTGACAGCCATACTTAATAACATTTCTTTAGTCAGAGTGCCATGAATTTGACCAACTTCTCCAACTCCCCATTAATTATCTTTCTCTTTTCCAAACCACTCTCTATTTCTCTTTTTCTTTTTTCAATAATACTTTACAAAAGACTTGCGTAACTGACAAAAACTTAATATATTTCCCCCTTCACGTCTTGAATTTAGTGATCTAAATAAACTTCTCCACTTCGTCTTTTGGCTTAGGCGTTGGGGGTCAGACTCGTAATTCCAACGTACCACGACCGAAACCCACTGCTGAATTGCTTGTATTTTTATATTCGTAAGGGGCGTCGCAGGTCGACACAGCCTAAATTGGGTACCAGGATGTATGTCCTGGAGAAGTAAAGACGGCCGGCGTAATGCTGACCACATTACCCACCTAGTGCCGATTGGTCTGTAAAAATATGGGATGAACTTCCCATATGCCCGATGCTCCCAAGGGGTGAAAAAGGATCTTTACTTTACTTACTTCGTATTTTACCGTTTCGGATAATGAGGGTTCTGCTTCTGACTCTTCTGGTCGCCTCGACTATAGACACGTTATGCTATTTTAGAGTTCCTCTGATGTTATCATTCCATATTGTTATTGGTTTACTTAGTGCACTTTAGTGCATGTCTGGTTATGCGTTGCGTCGCAAAACACTTTATAACCGGGAAAACTATTTAATTTAGCAAAACAGACGAAGATATCGATTGAAGGGATAGCTCATAAGTGGTTAAATATGTAATTAAATGGTTGATTCGAATAACTGTGGAGATGGGTAAAAACGAACTGGGGAATTACTAGTTGATCGCTCCAGTAATGATAGATATGTTGTAGGTATAGTGAGGAGGTCTCGAGGTTGCAGTAGGTAACATCGTCATTGAAACACATCTTCTTCTTCTTCTTCTTCTTCTTCTTCTTCTTCTTCTTCTTCTTCTTCTTCTTCTTCTTCTTCTTCATCTTCTTCTTCTTCTTCTGCTTCTTCTTTCCTGTCCTCCACCGCCACTTCCTCATCCTTCTCCATTTTCTCACATTCCTCCTTTTGTGTCCTCCACTTGCTCCATTTTTTCTGTCTTTTTTTTTTTCGTTCTTTCTGTCTTTCTGTCTTTTTTTTTTCCCTTTCTTTCTTTCTTTTTTCTTTCTCACTGCCTTTTCCCCTTTCACACCCCCTTCATCTTTTTTCTAGTGTCCCTTTCAACTGGCTTAAAATTGAATTGTACTTACCATCGTAGGAATTCAGAAAGTTCTGGAGAGCGCTGTGTCTGGACAGAAATCCGGCGTCTATTCTCGTTCGTCTGTCCCTGGACCCACGACCACAGAAATGATCACAATGGGGAGTCAGACATTCAATAAAGACCGACCAGAATAGCAGTTCAAACTAACTACATTCTATGTTTTGTCTTGTCTTGTTGTGTCTTGTCTTTATTTATCTTGTCTTGATTTGTATTGTCTTGTTTTGATTTTCTTGTCTTTTTTTTTTTTTTGGGGGGGGGGGGGGGGGGGGTCTTGTCTTGTCTTGATTGATCTTGTCTTGAATCATCTAGTCTTGTTTTATTTTGTCTTGTTTTGTCGTGTTTTAATTTGTCCTATCTTACTTAGTTTTCTCTTACTTTGTCTCATATTCTTTGTCCTGCCTGCTCTTCTCGATCAATAACAGAGAACCATTTTTGTTACCCGCACCGAGATGCACAAGTGCTGTTCCACTTGTGATGACACCCAAAAACTAGGGTTCCTATTGGTTAAGACTATCCTCACATCCTAGAAACATCTCCCTGCCGGGAGTCTGGACAACAGATCCCCGTTTCTGGCTGTGAGCCGACGAACCAACAGTCTGCATAAAAATAAGCTAGCTCTGTAAAATGAATATGCACGCAACACTCAAGTCTGGAACAAGAGCAAAGTAAATGAACAACCAGGATTTTTCGCTGGAGTTTACAGTCGATGAACTTGCAGACGACGAAGTTCCTGAATTAGTTCAGAGCAACTGTGAGAGCCTGTAGTTTATATCCTAGAACAGTACTTGGTTCTTTATTATTATCTTATCCCAGATGACGTCACATGACAGTCCAACATTTGGGAGGGTGGTAATAATGGGTTTCCCGGCTTTCTGATGCTTTTAAAGACCCCAAAACATCTAGAACTGGCCCTAACCCCAACCCACCTGTGTCCCACGAGACAGCGCAGCCCAGGTCCCACGAATGCATGCAGTCTAGGTCCCACGACTGCATGCAGCCTATCTACCACCCCCTAAAATATTAGACTGTCCCGTGACCTGTGGATTTCCTCTGTGGATTTGAATAAAGCACCCAGTACTTTGTTTCTGATATTTTGTTTCCGTTACTTTGTGGAAGTCTGGAGAAAACGGCTATGGAAGGTACAGTTTCCGGGAAACGAGGCAGAGACAAACCTCCGCGAAGGTGGGATATAAGATATTGATAGTATATTTGAAAGCGAATAAAGTTACAGAACCTGTTAGAGAAAGAGTATTTTAGAGGTGCCGTGACGACAACGACGTTCTGTAATAGTCTTACTGCCTGATGTTCTCGAATCATCTGTTCCTGAATCTTCCACGTTCTGCTATAAGTACTTCTACAGCCGAGGCCGTTCCATGGTGATGATTCAGGCTAAACTCTCACTAAGTGATCCACTCACATTGTTCCTCTATGTCAAAAAAGCTTTTTCACACCTTCAGGTTTATTGTGAATACAGTGCTAGACCAGCGGTTCTTAATCTGTGGGTCAAGACCCTTTGGAGTTCTAACGACCCTTTCACAGGAGTCGTCTAAGACCATCGGAAAACACATATTCACTGAAGTTATGAAGCAGCAACGAAAATAATTGTATGTCTGGGGGTCGCCACAACATGAGAGAACTGTATTAAAGAGTGACAGGATTAGGAAGGTTAAAAGCCACTGGACCAGACCAATATTTTTAGACACATATTTTATAGACCAAAATGTTATAGACTAATATTTTATAGACCAATATGCACACGGTGTGTGATGTGCTGAACGTCACTCGGGTCGCCTTTACTTCCCAGTACTGTATGTGGTACCAATTAAAGGCTGGGTTGACCTGAAAGCCAAGGTTATTTCTCGAAAGAAAAAAGCGCCCGACAATGTTCAGATTTGAACTTACGACCTTTCCGATCCACAGGGGAGTGACTAATCACCAAACATGATCCATTGCTCCAACAGATCACACATCCATTTATCATATCATCATTACATACGTCTTTCTGTCTGTCTGTCCGTCTGTCTGTCTGTCTGTCTGTCTGTCTGTCCGTCCGTCTGTCTGTCTGTCTGTCTGTCCGTCCGTCTGTCCGTCCGTCCGTCCGTCCGTCTGTCTGTCTGTCTGTCTGTCTGTCTGTCTGTCTGTCTGTCTGTCTGTCTGTCTGTCTGTCTGTCTGTCTGTCTGTCTGTCTGTCTGTCTGAATGTCTGAATGTCTGTCTGTCTGTCTGTCTGTCTGTCTGTCTGTCTGTCTGTCTGTCTGTCTGTCTGTCTGTCTGTCTGTCTGTCTGTCTGTCTGTCTGTCCGTCCGTCCGTCCGTCCGTCCGTCCGTCCGTCCGTCCGTCCGTCCGTCCGTCTGTCTGTCTGTCTGTCTGTCTGTCTGTCTGTCTGTCCGTCCGACCGTCCGTCTGTCATGACTGTATGTCTACACTTCTAGTTCCCCTTGCCTGATTGTCCATCTGTCAGCCAGTGAGCCCATGCGCTGACTGTATCTGTCTATCCATTCCTTTGTTAGTGCATAATGTTTTATAAAATAATAATAATATAATAATAATAACGATAATAATAATAATAATCAGAACAAAAATAACAACAATAACAATATCATAACCATAATACAATAATAATAATAACAACAATAACAAAAAATATAAAAAAAAATAATAATATAACAATAATAATATCAAAAATAATAACAATGATAACAACAATAATATCAACAATAATAACCATAACCATAGTAATAACAACAACAATAACAACAACAATAATAATAACAACAATATCAACACCAATAACAATAACAACAACAATAATAACAAAAAATAATAACAACACCAATAATAATAACAGTAGTAACAATAATATCAACACTAATTATAGCAAAGATAACACAACAATAGCAACATTATAATAACAACAGCTACAGCAAAAGTATTAATAATAATAGCAACAAAAACATTGATATATTTAATAACAGCAGTAGCAATAATAGTAGCAGAAGTAGCATTAGTAGTAGCAGCAGCAGAAACAGTAGTGGTAGTAGCAGCAGCAGAAACAGTAGTGGTAGTAGCAGCAGCAGCAACATCAACAATAGTAGTAGAAGTAGTAGTAGTAGTAGTAGTAGTAGTAGTAGTAGTAGTAGTAGTAGTAGTAGTAGTAGTAGTAGTAGTAGTAGTAGTAGTAGTAGCAGCAGCATCAGTAGTAGTAGTAGCAGCAGCAGCAGTAGTAGTAGTAGTAGTAATAGTAGTAGTAGTAGTAGTAGTAGTAGTAGTAGTAGTAGTAGTAGTAGTAGTAGTAGTAGTAGTAGTAGTAGTAGTAGTAGTAGTAGCAGCAGCATCAGTAGTAGTAGTAGCAGCAGCAGCAGTAGTAGTAGTAGTAGTAATAGTAGTAGTAGCAGCAGCAGCAGTAGTAGTAGTAGTAGTAGTAGTAGTAGTAGTAGTAGTAGTAGTAGTAGTAGTAGTAGTAGTAGTAGTAGTAGTAGTAGTAGTAGTAGTTGTTGTTGTTGTTGTTGTTGTTGTTGTTGTTGTAGCAGCAGCAGCAGCAGCAGCAGCAGCAGCAGTAGTAGTAGTAGTAGTAGTAGTAGTAGTAGTAGTAGTAGTAGTAGTAGTAGTAGTAGCAGCAGCAGCAGCAGCAGTAGTTGTAGCAGCAGCAGTAGCTGTTGTTGCTGCTGTAGCGGCAGCAGCATAAGTGATAAGATTCTACATCTCACAAACAATTGATTGCTACCTCCTGATGTCCGTCAAATGATCCAGGATCCACCTTGCGACCCGGTCACTGTCTGACTCACTGGCATAAAGGTCAGAGTCCCTGCAAGACAAAAGACAACCTCTTGACAGATTGATAGATAATTTGACAAATCGATCCCCCGATTACCTCCCGTTAGCCCGGGAAAAGACGATTGCTGGCAATCTGAAGAAATAGCCAAATTGGGCCTTGAGCTGACACACATAGAGACATATGGATTCGGAAATATCGCCAAAGATGGCAGATAATTAAACACATGGAGATGCTGAGCGGACCAGACAAGTTGGCGCTTTCTTAAAGAAGGTATGTTGCCATGGGTTTTGCCCGCCGATTGGCTGTTGTCTGGGGTTCCAGTTTTGTAGCGAAAAAAAAAGAAAAAAAAAAGAAATAAAAAGAAAACACTTAATAGTTCGTAACAAGTATACCGTAAAAAAGCAAATGTTTAAGGCTTTTCTAAAATCAAAATATGTTGGTTTGAGATATACAAATTTCGCGGCCTATCTGTAAAACACCGGCGTAATGCTGACCACGTTACCCACCTAGTGCCGATTGGTCTGTAAAAATGTGGGACGCTCTTCCGATATGCCCAATGCGCATAAGGCGTAAAAAGGAATAAAGCTACTAAGAGCTACTATCTGTAAACCAGAAAACAACTTGCTAACCACCCTTTTAAGGGCGAAAGCAGGAGAAGACGGTTACCGCCATGCATTCAGTTCTCTTTATGCCTAGTGGCACATGGGGCTTCAGAGGTGACTTTCCATGCTTTCCTGTCCTGTGCAATCTCTAGTGCAGTTTTCCATGTCAGAGATGCCGCATTCAGCTCACTTTCCATCGTTCGTCTCTGTGTTGTTTTTGAGCCCTCCTTCTTTCTCTTTCCTTCAGGTATCCAAGTCCGTCGTGCATTAGTTCTAAAATTTGTTGCTCTCCAGTTCATCGTTTGGTGATACCCAATCATTTACTTTCAGCGTAAAGTTACAGTAAGTCTATGATCTATGATTCCTTACCCGCTCACGACAAGAGGTCCCATCAAACAAATGTGACCGTTACGAGTGCATCAATTGTAACTTCAGTAAATTTTACGCTCGCCTCTCCATTAGTACAGCACTACACACTAGCTCGCTTCTGATTAGACTACCTGCTGACCACGATACTTCTGATAGGTCGGCCTCGAGCGATCCGACATTCACACAAGGTCACGGGGATATTCCGCACTCGCTCTCCTACCACGTGTTGTATATTTCACCATGCCAGAGCTTTTAACACTTCTAAAACATTTAGATACTGGGTCAAACACACAACCACCCGTGAGAGTGACAAAACCTAAGTCACAGGCCGTCTCTTTCTCAGGAAATAAAAACATAAATGCCAGACAACAACAGACTGCGACACCAGTAACCTCGACCACGGTAGACTAGTCCAACCAACTTATCAATGGAGTTGACCTACAACCGGTGATGTGGAAATGGGGAGACGAGCGTAGAATTCACCGTAACTTCTTAATAAATTATTACCGCAAGAGTCCAATAGAGGTGTGTCCAAATCTCCCGCCTGTCCTGCTATGATGGCTGTAAGTAATCACTCATGTTTTGTTATTATTTTTTTCCAGTCAAGTTTCATTGTAATGAACTGGTTGGTCTGTGTTATTTTTCAGTAACATCACTTGTCTCTCTTTCTCTCTCACTCACTCTCTCTCTCTCTCTCTCTCTCTCTCTCTCTCTCTCTCTCTCTCTCTCTCTCTCTCTCTCTCTCTTTCTCTCTATGTATATTCAAAACACATAACTTCATATCTTGTGATCGTCTTCTTAATTTTTCTCACATACGAATTCTTGTGATAGAATAGACTGTTTGTTGGAGTTCCTCTTTAGTTCCATACAGATTTGACTATAGTGTTGACTCACATGTTCAGTATTGCCTCTTCACTGGGCTGTACAAGGGCACAGACTTGCACTTGTTCTGAACAGCCCACACAGGAACAATGGTGAACGACACAGTTGAAGCTTGAGCAAATGCTTGTCTAACTTACCATCTCACAAAACTGATAGAAGCCGAGGAAAGGAGATATTTCTTAGTGACTCAGATTCTTTCTCTTAAAGTCCTTGCCGTGGGTCGTTGGTAGTCCCATCTATTCACAACCTTCTGTCTTGTGTAGTTTCAGTCAATTCTGACACAGATGATATTCCATGACCGTAATGTCAGACTGTCCAGCTATTTCTCCGTCGGTCTCCCTGTGCCTCTTTTGCCTGTTCCTGTCACGATGTTCACTAGTTTTATCTTTCTCATGAGCAAAGAATGTAGATTGTCTCCTTCTAATGTGGGTAATCAGTTCTCTTCGTGAGTCGGTTCCTTTCAAGACACCCTCATTACTTATTTTTTTTTAATCTGTCCAAGGCTTCTCATCATTCGTCTATGAAACCATATTTCCGCAGCTCCGAAATAATTGTTCACTAAATTAATTCAAATTTACATCAACAAAAATTGAAGCGGAAGAATAAAATCATTACTGCTGCCATAAACAAATTGTCCGTTGTTTCAGTGATTACAAGAAAGAAAGAAAGAAAGAAAGAAAGAAAGAAAGAAAGAAAGAAAGAAAGAAAGAAAGAAAGAAAGAAAGAAAGAAAGAAAGAAAGAAAGAAAGAAAGAAAGAAAGAAAGAAAGAAGGAAAGAAAGAAAGAAAGAAAGAAAGAAAGAAAGAAAGAAAGAAAGAAAGAAGAAAAGAGAAAGAAAGAAAAAGAAAGAAAGAAAGAAAGAAAGAAAGAAAGAAAGAAAGAAAGAAAGAAAGAAAGAAAGAAAGAAAGAAAGAAAGAAAGAAAGAAAGAAAGAAAGAAAGAAAGAAAGAAAGAAAGAAAGAAAGAAAGAAAGAAACGAAAGAAAGAAAGAAGAAACGAAAGAAAGAAAGAAAGAAGGAAAAAAAGAAAGAAAGAAAGAAAGAAAGAAGAAAAGATAGAAAGAAAGAAGAAAGAAAGAAAGAAAGAAAGAAAAGAAAGAAAGAAAGAAAGAAAGAAAGAAAGAAAGAAAGAAAGAAAGAAAGAAAGAAAGAAAGAAAGAAAGAAAGAAAGAAAGAAAGAAAGAAAGAAAGAAAGAAAGAAAGAAAGAACATATCTAACAGAAAGCCTGCTAGCGGTCAACACAACTTTGGTCTCGCCTCTTATTTGGAGAATAACAAAACAGCCTCTAGCGTCTCTTAACAACCATTGCAAAATGGATGTCCATTTTGTTCCCGACATCTCATTTGATTCATGGTTCCTCCCTCCCACACAAACACACACACTTCCACAGTCCCACACACTGACACCAACCCCAGAGACCCGTTGATTAAGGCAGACAGTGGTCACCACACCACATCGTCCGCATCACCAAAATGAGAGGGCGAAAATGGCGGTAATGAAGCTTGTACCTGGAGGGTATGTTCTTCAAACTACATCCGGTCAATTTGTTGACCACTTCCTGTTGTTACATCATGAAATTGCTCCCTGTATTTAGTTTCACTTTCTTCTTCTGTGTTGAGGTTTACAGATAGGCTGCGAAATCTGCTGTTGTCGACGCAACACATCAGATTGCAGCAAACGCCCAGTTATTAACCTTTTACGACATGCTTGTTACGGGATCAGTGAATCTACTCAATTCTGTCCCTCCACTCCATGAAATGAGGCCCCGGAACTAACAATGAGTAAGCCTGAGGTAACCTTTAACTCCCTTACACTTCAACAGTTGGAACTTTTTAAAATACAAAGCCACTGATAAGATAGTTGTTTTTAACTGTTTTACAAAACATGTGTTATTTTAAACAAGTCATTCACAAACTATATGTTACTTTACATACGACATTCACAAAATATGTGTTACTTTAAACACGTCATTCACAGAATATGTGTTACTTTACATACGTCATTCACAAAAATATGTGCTACTTTAAACACGTCATTCACAAAATATGTGTCACTTTAAACAGGTCATTCACAAAATATGTGTTACTTTAAACACGTCATTCACAAAATATATGTCACTTTAAACAGGTCATTCACAAAATATGTGTTACTTTAAACACGTCATTCACAAAATATGTGTTACTTCAAACACATCATTTACAAAATATGTGTTACTTTAAACACGTCATTCACAAAATATGTGTTACTTTAAACACGTCATTCACACAATATGTGCTACTTTGAACACGTCATTCACACAATATGTGTTACTTTAAACACATCATTCACAAAATATGTTTTACTTTAAACAATCATTTACAAAATATGTGTCACTTTAAACAGGTCATTCACACAATATGTGTTACTTTAAACACGTCATTCACACAATATGTGTTACTTTAAACACGTCATTCACAAAATATGAGTTACTGTAAACACGTCATTCACAAAACTACCCGTGTGGGTTTCGGGGTCCTATTAGGGGAGAAAAGGGGAGGGGTGGGTAGTAGATTGACCAAACCCATTAACATGCAGGTTTTAAAAAAAGCAAATAATGACATGTTTCTGAAATTGGTTTTGCTGTGTTGTAAGGTGCAAATATCGCAGTCTAGCTGTAACACAGCATGCCAACCGCCCTTTTAAGGGCAAGCGCAAAAGAAGAAAGTTGTTACTTGTTGTTACATGTCATTCATAAATAAAGTGTTACTGTAACTCCTCCGTCTGGGACTGTGGCCTGTAAATTTTATTGTGGATTTATTCGTTGAAGTCCGCCTCGAGTGCTAGAGGTTCCGGGTTCAATCCCGGGTAGGGGCTAGGATTTTTTTTTTACGTGGACTTGGACTTCTAGTAATTCCCCATGGTCTCTGGGTAGTGAGATCGAAGGCCTGTGTGCATTTCTGCGCACGTAAAATATCTCTTCGCAGTTGGAAATTAAAAAAAAGTAGCCTAGCGGCGCTGCCCGGACAAAATTTAGAGTTAAAATCTACCCAAAGTATTTCAGGATCCTTGCCGGTGCTACAGAGCCTGTGCACTGTGTACTGAGCTTCTTTGGACTTAAACCTGAGTTAGAAGAATAACGGAGCAGTTATCGGTTACACCCCCTTTGGCCATGATATTGATCCGTTGTTCAAAACCTCAAAACCTTGTTGATAAAGACTTTGGTTGAAACGCTTGGTTGTTCCGTCATCAAGTTTTCCAGTCATATTTTGTGGTTTCGTTAATTTGCTCCTGCAACTACTTCCTCACCGGGCAATTATAAGTTTAAAAAGTTCATTTCTGAACAAAACATGTGCCGTTCGCGTGATTACATTTCTAGATAATTGGTTATTACATTGCAGACAGTCATTCCTGTAACTATTCTATGCAAAAGAGGAGGAGAGGAGAATGGGGGAGGAAGCGAAGAAACAGAGGAAAAATGAAGAGGATGTAAAGGAGAAACAGAGAAAGGAAGAAGAAGGGAGAGGAGAAAAGGGAAGGAGGATGAGGAGGGAGAGGAGAAAAATAGAAAAAGGGAGAGAGAGGAGAATAAGAGAAAGGAGGAGGAAAAGGAGAAACAGGGGGAAAAAGAGGAAAGCGAGAGAAGGAAAAAAAGGGGGAGGGGGAGCGGAGAAAAAGAAAGGAGGAAGAGGAGGGAAAGGGAAAAACGAGGAAGGATGTGGGAAAGGAGAAAAAGAAGGAGGAAGAGAAGGAGTCGAGACAGAAACGGTGGGGGGGGGGGAGGAGGGGGAGGGTTATCACACTTCCTAGTGGCACAGAAGAGAAAACATGCGAGCAGAGAGAGAGAGAAAGAGAGAGAGAGAGACAGACAGACAGACAGACAGACAGACAGAGAAATACAGTAGACATATAGAGTGGTTGATAAACTAACAGACAGGAACAATACTAAGAGACAGACACACACATAAAGAGAAAGAGAGAGAGAGAGACAGACAGACAGACAGACAGACAGACAGACAGACAGACAGACAAACAGACAGACAGACAGACAGACAGACAGACAGACAGACAGACAGACAGACAGACAGACAGACAGACAGACAGACAGACAGACAGACAGACAGACAGACAGACAGACAGACAGACAGACAGACAGACAGAGAAATACAGTAGACATATAGAGTGGTTGATAAACTAACAGACAGGGACAATACTAAGAGACAGACACACACACACATAGAGAGAGAGAGAGAGAGAGAGAGAGAGAGAGAGACAGACAGACAGACAGACAGACAGACAGACAGACAGACAGACAGACAGACAGACAGACAGACAGACAGACAGACAGACAGACAGACAGACAGACAGACAGACAGACAGACAGACAGACAGACAGACAGACAGACAGACAGACAGACAGACAGACAGACAGACAGACAGACAGACAGACAGACAGACAGACAGACAGACAGACAGACAGACAGAGAAATACAGTAGACATATAGAGTGGTTGATAAACTAACAGACAGGGACAATACTAAGAGACACACACACACACATAAAGAGAGAGAGAGAGAGAGAGAGAGAGAGAGAGAGAGAGAGACAGACAGACAGACAGACAGACAGACAGACAGACAGACAGACAGACAGACAGACAGACAGACAGACAGACAGACAGACAGACAGACAGACAGACAGACAGACAGACAGACAGACAGACAGACAGACAGACAGACAGACAGACAGACAGACAGACAGACAGACAGACAGACAGAGAAATACAGTAGACATATAGAGTGGTTGATAAACTAACAGACAGGGACAATACTAAGAGACACACACACACACATAAAGAGAGAGAGAGAGAGAGAGAGAGAGAGAGAGAGAGAGAGAGAGACAGACAGACAGACAGACAGACAGACAGACAGACAGACAGACAGACAGACAGACAGACAGACAGACAGACAGACAGACAGACAGACAGACAGACAGACAGACAGACAGACAGACAGACAGACAGACAGACAGACAGACAGACAGACAGACAGACAGACAGACAGACAGACAGACAGAGAAATACAGTAGACATATAGAGTGGTTGATAAACTAACAGACAGGGACAATACTAAGAGACACACACACACATAAAGAGAGAGAGAGAGAGAGAGAGAGAGAGAGAGAGAGAGAGAGAGAGAGAGAGAGAGAGAGTGATATGAGGAGAAACAAAAAGTACAGCATCTCAGGCAGCAGTCAAGTGTTCACAGCAGATATGAACTGACAGCTTTGCTCCTGAATGAAGCAGGACACTTATCATAAATAAATTGACTGCCAAGGCGGTGTGGAATATCAGGGAAAACCACCACATATGCTTTTTTTTTAAAAGAATACTTTTATGAGAGATTCACATCTATAAATGAGGGGTCGACCGGTACGAAAAATTACTTCAGAATTACTACACCCCCCCCCCCCCACACACACACACACATATACATATATATTCATATCTGGCATGCGAAAAAAATAGACCTACCTGGCTGATTCTCCGTGTGTACAGGCCAAAATAAGAACTAGCACAGCCAACGTGGCAAGTAAGAAAACGTCCATGACCTTCATACTGTGAAAATAATGAAATGACCCGTTATACAAAGATATTATAGTATATTTATATATTCTTAAAAAGCTTTCTAGATGTATAGCGTTGTGTCAGGGCATGCGGGTGTAAGAGGAAAAGCATAGACTAACGGACTTGTTAGTTCTATATGTATACCTTGTATCAGAATAGGTAGGTGTACGAGGAAACGAATACGTCGATAGGACTGCTGCAGAATGCGGGCAAGCAGTGGACCAGGATGATTTACCGAATGCTTTACGAGAAGTGGTGGCATAAGAAGGTGGGTAGGAAGGTGCTTCCCCCCCCCCCCCCCCCCCACGCGCATGTTTTTGATGTGGCGGTTGAGGCCATCAAGTTTATTCGCTCCAATATCAGAATCTGTAAGTCTCTTGAGAATCGTCTTATCTTTCTAATGGGCTCCAACTCGTCTATGGAACTTAATGTCCAGCACAGATTTAGCTAATATTTTTTTAGTTACGGTCCTTGCCTTTCACAGCTTTTTTGTGTCTGGTATTTATTTCCGGTATTCCCACCCGTGACGGAGTTTCCACTGGCCGACGGACATGGGGATTTCTCTGGGATATACTTTAGTTAAGTGATTATGTGTATTCGGGTTCATAATTGTAACACTGTCTATTCGTGTAATGAACTGATGAAGGTTTTATAGCCGGAACGTTCACCTGTCATTTTGAGATTTTGATAGGAAGCTTGCTGTATGCGAATGTCACTGCGACGTGTGAAGAGTGAATGAAGCCAGGGCTTAGTGAAGCATAAGTGCAAACTGGCAATCATATTGTGTAGACGGGTTGCGATTGCAAACACTTGAGCCAATAAAAGTTGTGAAACAGGCGTTGCTGCACATTTTCATGTGGGATGTAAACCCCTGGCTGTGGCGAGAAAGTGAGATCCACACAGAACTGAAGCCCGTTTGATAATCCTCTTGTAGCTTGAGTCAGTCGCTTTCAGTCAAAGTGTTTGGAGGTGTGCGCGAATTATCCAAGTCCTATGGACACATGTTCTCTGTTGTATGGCAGTTTGAATAATATGTTTTATTCTGTTAGAGCTCAGGTGAACTGTTCGGATAACCGTGGTGGATTCTGAGCTGGACCTCTGAATACTATCAGTATGCTTTTCTAGAACGGATGGTTGTGCGGCCCATCTGTTTTAGGGTCTGCCCAGTTGCGGCTATGTGACACGCTGGTGGACGAGTTTTTCCTAAGTGCCATAGAAGGTGCCATGGTAACTTTGTGTGTGTTTGCCTGCGTAGAGTTGCTATTGGAGTGGGGGGGGGGGGGGGAAGGGGAGGGTAAAAGAAATTCTGGTCGCGACTACCGATTACCGTGGTCAACTGGGAGTTCATTAGTAATACTTTTTTGAGTGACTGGGTGGCAGACAGGAGGTTTAGATTCTTTTCACCAAGTGGTACATCTACTTTTGGCTCTCAGTGGGTGGGGGTGGGGGTTATCTTAGAAGGAGAGTCGTTAGAGGACTGTCACTGCACGTCACTGGATTTCTCTGCTCGATCGTATATTGATAGCCCCTAGCAGAAACCTGTATATAGTTCGCATGATGTTTTGTCCATGTTTCTGGAGACTGCCGATGTGAGTGTGTTTAGCATGCAACAGTATACTTGACATGAGTCACTGATCAGCAATTCATAGTTGTAGCAATGCGTTCCTCCATAATAACGAGACTAGTCTCACTGTAAGACCAAACTCGGCGTGGTATAGTGTATTAGAGTGTTCTTAGCCAATGTTAGTAGTTGTGAGAAGACATGTAATCTGTGCCAGAAATATTGTAGTTGTTAATTTGCTACTGTGCCTATCTTACTGTTGTGTTCCTGCTGTCGTTGGCCTCTCCTTACTCTCCTGCAAGAACCCAATAGACGGTATGTCGTCTGAGAGAGCTCTTGTATGTGATGGGAGCAAGTCTACACCATGGACACATGGAAGAATATGTTACACGCACGAACGCATCTAACAAAGCCGACTAGTTCGACTTTTATTCTGGTTTGATATCTTTTTAAGAGACTGAAACAGTGAACACCCACATCCTGAAGGAGACGAAACCTCTATGAGCATGACAGGTATGCTGCGTTGAAGATTCCTAAATCAGTAATCTGGCACGTCGTAAGAGTGACATAAATGAATTACGTCGGGACAGCAGAAAAATCTGGCAGCCGTTTGAAATGATCTCTACAGTGTTCATTGACTGTGCCGCGTCTGCAATATTTGAGAACTATCGCTTCTAAACACTTCAACAACTAGTTGGTTGAACATACGTCGTGATAACAGAAAAGTATGGGAGCCGTTTGATATTATCTCTACAATGTCCATTGGTGGCACTGCGTCTGCAATATTTGAGAACCATCGCTTCTAAACACTTCAACAACTAGTTAGTTGGACATACGTCGTTATAACAGAAAAGTATGGAAGCAGTATATTATCTCTACAGTGTCCATTGGTGGCACTGCGTCTGCAATATTTGAGAACTATCGATTCTAAACACTTCAACAACTAGTTAGTTGGACACAGGTCATGATAACAGAAAAGTATGGAAGCTGTATATTATCTCTACAATGTCCATTGCGGCACTGCGTCTGCAATATTTGAGAACCATCGCTTCTAAACACTTCAACAACTAGTTATTGGACATCTCACCACACCCTCCATCACTAGTGTTGTTTAGATTCGTTTCTGGCATTCTACAATAATCAATGCAACCAACTATTCATTTCGACGCTGGTAAAATGTAATTGAATCAAACCTCGAGTACTTTATAGGAAGTTCAACGTGCCCTTAAAGTTCGCAACACAGCTGCGCTTTTTGTCCCTAATTGTTTTTGTTTGTGGGCAGTACTGCTGGATCGCTCAAGGTGTGTGTTTATGTGCATAGACTTTTCTGTGGTTTTAATTTTATTGTTGTTTCTGTGTTACATGTTTGTTTTTCTATTGACTGTGTTTGAATAATGGGTAATTTGCCTCCTACTTCCCCGTTCTTCTTATCATTAGTATAATTAAAATCATCATCATCATTCTCGTCTTCATCCAAATCATCTTCTTTTTCTTCATTCGTCGTCTTTTTCTTTTTCTTTTTCTTCTTGTTCTTCTTCTTCTTCTTCTTATTATTATTATTATTATTGTTCTTTCTCTTCTTCTTCTTCTTCTTCTTCTTCTTCTTCTTCTTCTTCTTCTTCTTCTTCTTCTTCTTCTTCTTTTTCTTCTTCTTCTTCTTCTTCTTCTTCTACTTCTTCTTCTTCTCATCATAATCATCATATCATCATCATCTTCTCCTCGTCCTTCTCTTCCCTCCGTCTTCATCGTCATCATCACCACCACAATTATCATCATCACCTTCTTCTTTCTCCTCCTCCTATTTCCTCATCGTTATCCCTTAAAAAGCTGGGCAGGACCTTATGTTGTAGTTTACAGCTAAGCAGCAATTTCTGCGCCATTTTACTATATGCTTTTTGATACGTGTTCATGGTCCCGCCAAAATGGGCTCCAAAACTACACACACACACACACACACACACACACAAACACACGCACACATATATATATATATATACACACACACACAATACAAAATGCCTCATTCCTTGAAAAATGTTCGATTAACTTTTTTTGTTGTTGAAAAATGTGAGAACTTACAGCTATCGCCCTTACTGTATTGTAATATACAATAGCTGACGTCGTAAAATCGATACTGCAATGTGCAGAGATTATCGACACACAAAACATCGCAACATAAGTAGATATCGATGTTCAATAATGCTGTAATTATCAGGCGCAAAAGAAAAAAAAAATAAAGATCCGTGAGAAAATGATAGCAAGTGGGATCAAGTAAAAGCCTAGGATTTGGCAAACGATTGGATTTTATGGTATATCCTTTTCACTGGGTCACGAAGAACGTGTAATAGTTCATTGAGACGTGTGTGTGAGTGTGTGTGATGTGTGTGTATGCTGTGAGTGTGTGTGTCTTTGTACAATCAGAAAAGAGGTCATGGAACATACAAGAAATAATAAGTAAGTTATCAAGTAAAACGTCCTTGTGATGTTGACAACATTTCTAGGAACATACAAGAAATAATAAGTAAGTAATCAAGTAAAACGTCCTTGTGATGTTGACAACATTTCTAGGAACATACAAGAAATAATAAGTAAGTTATCAAGTAAAACGTCCGTGTGATGTTGACAACATTTCTAGGAACAAACAAGAAATAATAAGTAAGTAATCAAGTAAAACGTCCTTGTGATGTTGACAACATTTCTAGGAACATACAAGAAATAATAAGTAAGTTATCAAGTAAAACGTCCTTGTGATGTTGACAACATTTCTAGGAACATACAAGAAATAATAAGTAAGTTATCAAGTAAAACGTCCGTGTGATGTTGACAACATTTCTAGGAACAAACAAGAAATAATAAGTAAGTAATCAAGTAAAACGTCCTTGTGATGTTGACAACATTTCTAGGAACATACAAGAAATAATAAGTAAGTTATCAAGTAAAACGTCCTTGTGATGTTGACAACATTTCTAGGAACATACAAGAAATAATAAGTAAGTTATCAAGTAAAACGTCCTTGTGATGTTGACAACATTTCTAGGAACAAACAAGAAATAATAAGTAAGTAATCAAGTAAAACGTCCTTGTGATGTTGACAACATTTCTAGGAACATACAAGAAATAATAAGTAAGTAATCAAGTAAAACGTCCTTGTGATGTTGACAACATTTCTAGGAACAAACAAGAAATAATAGGTAAGTAATCAAGTAAAACGCCCTTGTGATGTTGACAACATTTCTAGGAACAAACAAGAAATAATAAGTAAGTAATCAAGTAAAACGTCCTTGTGATGTTGACAACATTTCTAGGAACATACAAGAAATAATAAGTAAGTTATCAAGTAAAACGTCCGTGTGATGTTGACAACATTTCTAGGAACAAACAAGAAATAATAAGTAAGTAATCAAGTAAAACGTCCTTGTGATGTTGACAA